GAAGTAGAACTTAATTTAACTAAGTTGGACGTTTCGTCCCTTTATTGGGACTTATTCAGCAACTCTAATTTTTACAGTTCAGGGTGTTTCTTTTATTGGCTGGATATACATTTTTCTTTTTATTAATATTCCAACACACAAAAGATCTAAACTTCCGTTAAATATTTCGCTCTCGTTATCATTTGAAACTCTCAACAAAACTCATTAAGTTCTACTTCTTTTTTTATGTCCAAGTTCCCTGTGATTCCGTATTAACCCTTCTTTGCATGATTTTTTCTTTTTTTTTTTTAAAAATAAATCAGGGTGATGTAATTAATGCTCTAGATTAAAGGAAAAATATTTGAAAAAAATCCTAGTGGTATTTTTAGACAAGTGCATTTTGTTGTACGCAATAGTCGGTTAAAAAGTTGCCAGCAACAAGAAATATACAGTACAAGGGTTTTGAGTACCTTTTTTTCTTGACTAAATATTATGATTGAAATTTCCGTCATCATGCAAAGAAGGGTTAAGAATAATAAATAATACTAATAACAAATATATATTAAAAATGAACTTACGAAACGCGAGGAGTTATCGTTACGGACGGTCTTAGCGTTACCAAAGGCTTCCAATACGGGATTAGTTTGTACGACTTGATCCTCAAGAGAACCCTTCTTCTGAGTTGTATCTTCAGTTTTCTTTGTCGATGCACCGACGGTAGCAAAATAAGCAATGACTTTTTTCGTGTTTTCAGTCTTACCAGCACCAGATTCACCGGTAATCAACATAGACTGATTTTCACTGTCTGTAAAGATAATACAAGACAATTTTTAGGTTAGGTCTCTCTCATCATTATTACAAATATATTTTCTTTTTACGATCAGTTTATTATATTTGAATTTTTCTTAAGGAGAAAAAAGAAAAAGCAAAAAAATGGATTACATTTTATTCTGCAAACTGTAAATTACTTACTGGTTAACATGTTGACATAAGCACCGTCAGAAATGGCAAAGATATGGGGTGGTACTTCATTACGTCTTTTACCGCGATACAATTTCGCGCATCTTTGGGTATAAACGGGGAATCTTTTGTAAGGATTAATGGCAACGCAGAAAAGTCCAGAATATGTCTGAAATAATAATAATAATAATAATACATACATACACATATATATATATTTATTAACGCGACAAATAACAATATTTGTCGTAGAGAAAAATTGTTGTTCATTTTTGAAATTAAAACAAAAAAAGAAAAAAGCAACAAGAAACGACAAGAAAAACAGCATGTATAGGAAACATAAGAAACAATTTCCTTGTTGATAATTGGCCGGTCTGCGGTCGTGCATTGCTGAAATGATTTTCAAAACCCATTTACCTTACGACATCGTACAAGACTTCTAATCTCGAGATCAAATTAAATCCAATCAGATCTAAACCAGTTTCGTAATTTTGAATTGCGTTGAATCACGTTGAAATTGAAATCGTAAAGCCAATGGGTTTTATGGAAAAAAAACACATTGAAAACTATATTGAATCCCATTCCGTTTAATTTTGGGATTGTTTTTGGTTTTGTTTTAAATAAACAACTCGTGTCTCGAGACGAGTGTTTTTTTTTCACTTTTTCTTGGTTTTATCATGAAGGTATATATAACAACAATAATAACATGAAAAAAGAAATATCGCAAAATAACACATAACCAAGTTTATCAGTCACAATAGATAAACGAGAGTTGTGGGTAGGGAAGAGGGTGTGTGGGAATGAAAAGACGATATTTTGTGAAGAAAATCGTCGATATTAGAACAATTATTATTATTATTATTATCATTGGCGACAAGTCTTAATGTCGTTTACCAATGTAAAAAAGGAAAAAGATATTCTATATATATATATATATGTATATAGAAGAATAAAACGATTCCTATTGGAATAGTTAAAACGTCGTGGCACGTTATGGGTGCTTTGTAACGACTTATAATCATCGTTTTGTCTTATAAAACGATTCGAAGAGACAAACAATAACGAAATAAATAAATAAAAAATAAAGAGAAACAAAAAGAGAAGGAGAAAAAGAAAGAACATCAAAACTGGAACACAATGAACGAATGAAAAGAAAATAATATTGAAAAATAATACAACGAGATTGTATTCTCGCGTCTGAAAACATAAAAGAAAAAAAAAATACAGAAGAATTATCGTAATTGTTGTTCTTTCAATCATAATTCTCGATAAACAATCGTACATTTGAATTATATTCTTCCATCGATGATTCGTTGAAAGAAAAACAAAATGACGTGATTGTTTGATAAATAAATCAACAACAAAAGAAAAGAAAAGAAAAAAGAGAAACTTTACATAGAGATAAATGCAAGGGGAAAAAAAATAAAATAAAAGAGACTCAGGGGGGGGGGGTTTCGTTATCATCATGAATTCAACGTCATCATCTTTGAAGATGAAACTCTTACGTAGATAAGTTGGGCGTAGTAACGTTGCTTCAAGTTGTGCAGTACTGAAGCATCATTGAGGTAGGTCAGATTAGACATGTCCTCGGCTTTTTCGTATTTCGGCGGGTTCACTTGTTGAAGTTGATCCTTCTTGAAGTCCCTGGTCTGTCATCGTTATTCAACCCCCACATTGTTGAAGAAGTCAACGAAGATAAAGAAGAAGAAGAAGAATAGGAAGAAGAAGAAGAAGAAGAAGAAGAAGAAACAACGATGACAACAACGATGACGATGACAACGACGACGGTGACGATGAAAGAAGATCGTCAAGAGAATCGGGGTTGGAGGGGGCGGGCGAGAGAGAAAAGAAAAAAGAAAAATACCCTGTTAATATTGATATGTAATGAAACGATAACTTACGTAAATTAATTTGTGGTAATAACGTTGTTTCAAGTTGTGCAACACTGATGCCTCGTTCAGGAAGGTCAGGTCTGCCATATCTTCGGATTTTTCAAATTTTGGCGGATTCACTTGGGACAGCTGGTCTTTGCGGAACTGTTTCGTCTGTGTTGCGTGTGTGCACCCGTGTTTTGGTTTGTTTGTTTTGTTTTATATGATAATTCATCAATTTTATCATATAGTTTAATAACACGCACACTTTGCGATCGGTGTTATCAAACTTTATGTTCAATTGTTGTATAGATTTATTTTTATACAAAAAAAAAACAGGAATACTACCGAAGTTATATTTCTGTTTTTTTTTTTTTTTT